TAAAAAAAAAATCGTCAATTGTTTTCCAGACAAATTTGCCTGGAAACTTTATTATCAAATAATTGGTCAAATTCTTTCGATTTTAATCATAAGTTCGTTACGTACGCACGTATATATCAGGTGACCATGATAGTGACTTGCAAAAACTTGGTTATGACGCAAATAACAATATTGACCACATTCTGGCCAAAATTCTGAAGGTTAGGACAGTTTACCGGTAGTAAATGGTGAAAATTTTTCAGGCAAATTTGCCTGGAAATGATCTACAGATTAAGGGATACCTTCATTTCCTCACTGTTCGTTAGAAGAATATCAAAAATTATGATCGCAGAAGGTATTATCTCTTTATTTTACCATATATACAGTATGCTGCAACTAGTGTAATGACACCGACATTTCTAGAGGCTCTGTTTCGGGTTCAGTTAGTGATTCAATTCGTTTCGTGCACGTGAATTTTTGATTTAAAACTATTTCATCATCAAAATATTTCATCATCAAAACTATTTCATCAAAACTATTTCATCATCAAAACTAGGACCGACTATGACGTAGGCACAGGAGGGATATTATCGCGAGGATCACCTGACCTCATGACCATACGTATTAGTTACGTACCTGATCTAATTAGTCATTAGGAGGTTATTGATCTAGCGAGTCTAATGACAAGTATAAATAAGCCACAAATTCGAAATGGAAGTTTGTGCTTTTCTTTGCTGCTTTTCATAGTTGCCCGAAACCCTATTTCTGGCTAATCGAAAGTTTCTTCCCTCCCACCCCTCTCAAAAAAAAAAAAAAAAAGTGTGCGTGTGTAAATAGAAAATCGGAGCAACCGCGAACAAATCTTGTATCCTTGCATACCGATACTATTCAACGCTGCGGAACTACAACGAAACTGGTTAGTTTGACAGCTGTGAACGCCCCACACTGTACCGAGAAAATTTAATAAACAGCTGTGTACGCCCACACTGTTCGGGAAAATAGAACGAACGGCTATGTACGCCCATACTGTTATTTGAAGAAGACGAACAGCTGTGTACACCCCACACTGTTCTATGAAAGAACGAACAGCTGTGTACGCTCCACACTGTTCTATGAAAAGACAAACAGCTGTGTACACCCCACACTGTGCTGAGTAAATGACTAGTAAAATAGATCAAGAAAAGTGGGAAGTTGTGTTAAAGTATTCGGCATATTAGCAACTAAGCGGCGGGCACCATTCCCATAAATTTCTTCATAATGTATCTTTGAACTAATTGAATTGAGAAATTGATTTGCTTTGAAAAAAAAAAAAGGTAATAGTTGCAAGGAAATCCGAGCGAAAATAATATTTCATCAAAATTATTTCATCAAAATTATTTCATCAAAATATTTCATCAAAATTATTTCATCAAAATTATTTCATCAAAATTATTTCATCAAAATTATTTCATCAAAATTATTATGTACCATTTCAATCTTACTACATCGTTTATTAATAGCAGGAATTATTGCAAGAAAACACAAATACGGTTTCTGAGAAAGTGTACATTATATACAATTTTCAATTTCATATATCTGCATATGATATGCGTTTGACTTGATTAGATAATTATGTTGATATCTTTAATTATTATATGGCCTGAATTCAATTGTTTATTAATAAGAGGTTGATATTAACGAAATTGTGATTATGTATAGAACCTTCGAACATCATTCACAATCACTTCAAGAGCAACTTGGAAAATTGAAAAAAGTTTAGGATGTCGATTAAAGACAGTTCATTCAATTAAGAGTTGATTATAATTTTTAAGGAAGGAAATGCAGATATTCAAAAGGCTTTGGTTGATCACTATCATTGTTTACACGAATATAATGTAATCAAAGATATTGGTCAAATTTTATTTGGAAAAGAGACATCAAACCACTCAAATCCATTTTTTTTTCACACACATATATGAATATATTTTTACACACAAATTATAAATAAAGTGTGCTGAATTTGATGATAAAAAAAAACGTATGTGCGGTTTGGATTGATTGAAAATCGGGTATATCGATCGATATTATCAGTACATTTGGTATAAGACTTGAATATATTAAAAGTTTTTTACTTTCAAAA